TCCCTCTCTCCCTCCCTCCGTCCCTCCCTCCGTCCCTCCCTCCCTCCCGTGCAAAAACAAAACAAGAATAAAAGGAACGTTCAGCTACAGTCACGTGTCATAATTCCACCGCTGTGTTCTGCGAACGCCGCGTCGTGTCGTGGGATTTTAGACGGAAAGGATTTAAGAAAGAACTTCCGTTTTTACAGCGCTGAAAGATTTCAAAGCGCTTCACGGGTGATCACTGTTTAGTGAAGCGCGATCTGGTTATCAGAATTTAAACCTAATTGATATTCGAGCGCTAAAAACAGGGGAAATTATCGCTGTTCGGGGAGCTCAATACAAATCCAACTTAAAATGGTCCCTGTACATTCATTTATCATTGCACAGTTCCAGGGATTAAACAGAGCAATTCAAGCACCGCTGTTGTCAAGTGGAATTGATCAGTTCGAAGCGATCAATTTCAATGAACGAATAAGTCACAAAGAAGATCATATAATGATAAAGAACAGAGAATGTTATGGGAGATTTAATCGAGGAGTTCAAAATTATGAGGCGTTTTGATAGAGTAGATAGGGAGAAACTGTTTCCTCCGGCGGCTGAGTCAGTAACCAGGGTACGTAGATTTAAGATAATTGGCAAAAAACCGGAAGGCAGACGAGGAGGAAGAGTTGTTATGGTCTGGAACTCACAGCCTGAAAGGCTGGTGGAAGCAGATTCGATAACATCTTTCAAAAGGGAATTGGACAGGGACTTGGGCAGTATTTCCAAAGAGCCGGCACAGACCCGATGGGCCGAATGGCCTCCTTCTGTGCTGTAATATTCTATTCTTTTCTATTCTATTCTATAAAGCTAGATTGCAAGGACACTTTGTTAACATCGTGTGGTGTGTGTGTGTGTGTGTGCGCGCGATGCTGATCAATCTCAATAACTGAATAATCCTTGCTTTGGTTCGGCGCTTTTCACATCAGGAGATGTAATAATAATATAATGATTTATAATAATAATTCTTGTCTTTGATAGAACGCCTTATTGCGTCATTGAGACATCTCAAAGCGCTTCACAGAATATGCTGTAAAGTGTAGTGTGTATATTTTACGGGCAGCCAATTTACAGTCTGTGGATTGGGTGACCCAATTATTATTTTTATTAGTATTATTATTTTGGAGGAGTTATTAGTCCCCGGAAAGCGATCCACCAACCAACTAACGCTTCACTGGAATCCCTAACTAACAGAATTTAGCGAAACTCGATTGCACTTTGCAAACACTGGACGTTTTGACTCGGAAGGTGTGAGACACTGGCAGGGTTTTGGCATTTATTTTCCATCTCAAGTTGCCCTAAACCACTTCAAACCACTAAATTTCTTTTTAAAAAAGAAACGCTGCTGCCCTGGTGGCAATTTTTCCTCTTCAGTGGTGTTGGATAGGGAGTTGCGGCATAGAATCCTGGAATCAAGAACTTGGGGGCTCAGTGGTTACTGCTGGGAATTTGGGGGCTTGCGAGTGAAAGGACCCGGGTTCGATTCCCGGGCAGGCGGCAAAACGTTGGGGCAAGTTTCCTTACTCCACACACACGCCTCTGTTTACCGAGCAGTAAGTAGGAACCCGGTTGTTAGTCGATTGACGGATCGCTTTTCCAGGGGTAATAATCCCTTAAAAAGAATAATAATTTGGTCACTGAATCCACTACACCTCACCGTATATTCCGTGAAGCGCTGCGAGACGTCTCGAAGACGTGATAAGGTGCTGTACGAAGGATTATTGTCGATATTATTTGGGATCATGTCCTTCCAGGATGCATTTCGCACAGCGACTAAGCTCTTGGGAAACTTTGTCAATTGAAAAGTTTTTACAAATATTTAAAAAGAAAAAAAACAAATCAACCTCATAACAACTCTTTTATTTATTGCAGCCATGAATTATAACCGTTTACTTTCAGGATCTTTAGCAACACAGACCTCATGGAGTACAAAAAAACATACCAGACCCCTCGCTCAGGCTGGACTGTAAAGATTTAAAGGTTGTGATCTGAAGCCAAGTTGAATCTGTCTGTGGTGACTCACCCCCTCTGTGAGGGGGTGAAGCGGGAGCAATGGAACAAGAATTTTGGAGTTTAAGCAAGTCCGGTTAGATGGGTCGCAGATAATATTCCTTGCATTTGATACAGCGCCTTGTCAAGTCGCCTTTGAGACGCCTCAAAACGCTTAGACAGATTAGACAGTAAAACAAATTGATTGTATGTGTTGTGGGCGATTATTACCCCCGGAAAAGCGATCCACCAATCGATTGACAACCGGGTTTTTGCTTACTGCTGGGTAAACAGAGGCGTGTGGAGGAAGGAAACTTGCCCAACGTTTCGCCGCCTGCCCGAGAATCGCATGAGAACCCGGGTCCTCTCGCTTGCGAGGCGAATGCTCTAACCATCAAGCTACAAGCCTCCTAAAGTACTTTGTGGGCGAAACGCGGCGGCCAATTGCGCACAGCAGCGTCCCCACAAACAGTCACGGATTGAGTGACAAAATTATTATTTTATTTTATTGAGGGAGTATGAGCAGGCGTGTGGAGTGAGGAAACTTGCCCAAGGTTTCGCCCCGCCGAGAATCAAACCCAGGTCCTCTCGCTTGAGAGGTGAGTGCTCTAACCACCGAGCTACAGGACTTACAAGATGACAGTGAACTCAAAAAAGTGCGTAATATTGCTCCATTGCCTGGACTAACCTCCTTATAATGAATTATTATAATAACAAATAATAACCCTCGCATTTGATGCAGCGTCTTATCACGTCTTCGAGACGTCTCAAAGCGCTTCGTAGGATACACCGTAAAGAGACTGTGTTATCCAACGTGATGTGTTTTCTGCACCGATGTGAACAGTGCTCAGGTCATTCGAGTGAGATTTTATGGATATGTTAACAAGATGAAGGGGAGATAATTGGGCCGGGCCGCAGGCCGGTGGCATTAAAGCATCGCAGGAATATACGCACGATTAATAATTCTCTCCCCATTGAATGATGGCTTTAATAACACTTGTGGGGGTTGCAAAATCTTTCAGCAAAAGTAAAGTACACGAAACAAGTGCCTTGGAAATGTATAATTCTTACAGCCACAGCGCTGGGAAAATAACCGCATCAGGTGTTTTTTTTTGTGCTGGTGTTTGCTCCCCCGACAAACTATCCGGCCTAAACCCCAATTCTCTGCTCTTGGCTCCCTGTGCTGTGAAGTCTGACCCGCTCCACCTGCCCCGGCCCAATTATCAATGAGCCCGCTTTCAGCCATTTTGTCCCCCGCTTCTCTGCAACTCACGCTCGTCCTCGAATCCCTTCGTGCCCCGGCACCTCCCTGCCTCCCCCGACCAGCTTACACCACAGCCCACCCCCCCCGCTGCCTCCGCACGGCTGGCTCCGGCCTCCCGTTTGTCCCGGTGCCCTCCGCTCCACCATCGCCTTCAGCCACTACGCCACAAAACTCTCACTCTTTCTCCCTCCATCTTGCCCCTCCACACCCCCCTCCCACCCGCCCACTCACTCCTTCCCCATCTTCAGGTCGTGCCTGAAGACCATCCTCTAGGGCCGTGGCTACGGTCACCTCCCCCTCCCCCACCCCCTGTCTTGGGGGTCGTGCTCCGCCACCGTCAAGCACTCTGGGGCGCTAACCCTGCGTGAGGGGCGCGTTGCACGTGCAAGCTGTTGTTGTGGTTCGGACTCCCATCTCGGGTGGCTTGTTGGGTGATAGCCAAGGGCACCCCAAGGTCTTGAAGGGTCAGCGAGGTCAATGATCCAACACAAATGAGCGACACAGCAACAGACAGCGAGTGACATCTTTCGATCTCTTTCCAGGTCTGAGGTCAAGGAAATCGACCTCGGCCTTTCCTCACCCGTTTCGAGAAAGCTTCACTTTATAATAACAATAATAATAATAATAATAATAATCATAATCCTTGCATTTGATATAGCACTTTTCACGTCAGGAGGACGTCCCAAAGCGCTTCACAGAACACACTCTCTCTCAAGTGAATTGACTGTATATTTGTGGGCGAACGCGGCAGCCAATTGCGCAATGTCCCACAAACAGTCGTAGATTGAAAATGACAAATTTATTATTGTTTTTGGTTTTGGAGGATTATTATTAGGCTCTGTGTGGAGTAAGGAAACTTGCCCGAGGTTTGGCCCTGACTGACCCCCCGGGGATTGAACTCAGGTCTCTCACTTGCAAAGCGAGTGCTCTAACCACTGAGCTACAGGACTCCACAAACTCCATAATAATAATAATAATAATAATAATAATAATAATAATAATAATAATAATAATCCTTGCATTTGATACAGTGCCTTATCACATCTTTGAGACGTCTCAAAGCGCTTCACAGACTATACCGTCAAGTGAACTGACTGTATATTTTGTGGGAGAAGCGCGGCAGCCAATTGCGCACAGCGGTGCCCCCACACACACAGCCGTGGATCGAGTGACCGAATTATTATTATTTATCTATCGATTGATTTATTTATTGTAGGGTTTATTGGGCATTTGGACTGTTTTCGACAACAACAACAATAAAACGAATGTCAAATCTTCTCTCCCTGCCTGACTGGTGGGATGGAGTTAGGAGCTTTCTTCCAACTGAGAGATCAGTCTCTCTCTCTCTCCCTCCCTCCCTCCCTCTCTCTCCTTCCCTCCCTCCCTCCCGCTCCCTCTCTCCCTCCCTCTCCCTCTCTCCCTCCCTCTTGGACTGACTACCGTCCACACAAGCCCGAGTGAGCTACGTATATACTGACTAAGAGCGTGTGTTTCGATCAAATGCCTGACCAGGGAACTGAACCACCGGCAGCTCCACCTCCCCCCACCCACCCCCGCCCGCCCATTAACATGAACACCACCCCCCCCACCCCCACCATCCCCCAAACCCCCCCACCACCCCCACCTTCCCATCCCCAAACCCCAATCGAGTGGCGGGTGGCAAGTCCTCAGATACACTGCTAAACCCTCTGTCTCTGTGTGGCGGGCTCCGCAGGTGCTCTCGGTTCTAGACCCTGTTGCGGAGTGTGATGATGGAGGTCCTGGCGCTGGACGCTGAGCTGGCCAGGTTGAGTTTGCGGCGTTTCCTGGCTGCCGACCTCTCGAACACCTCCTTGGCTTTCTTCCTGAAGTGCTTGCCCACTATGACGTACAGTAAGGGGTTGATGCAGTTGTTGGTGAAGCCCAGGAACGTGGTGATCTGGTTCCCGTTCTCCAGCACAGCCTCCCAGCGGCAGCCCGGGATCAGGCCGAGCTTCTGCAGGATGCTGAGGAAGGTGAAAAAGTGGAAGGGCAGCCAACAAAGGAAGAACATCAGGAGGACCAGGAGGACCAACTTGGAGGACTTGGTCTCCTTCCGCACCTGCATGAATTGGCGCATGGTGTTGTTTCTCAGCACCTGGAGGATTTGGCAGCTGCAGAAAGTGATGATGGAGCCCGGGACGATGAACGCGAACACGAGCAGCAGGATCTCGAGGTTCAGTGACCAGCCCTCGCTGGGGTACCTCAGCAAGCAGGCCGAGATGTTGTACTCGGGTTTGGCCATCACCGTCCTGAAGAGGATGACGGGCGTGCTCATGAGGAACCCGAACGCCCAGATGGCCAGGCAGGTCATCTTGGCGCAGGCGGGCGACCGAGTCCGGCCGCTGGTCATCGTGTGCACCAGGGCGAGGTAACGGTCGATGCTGACCATCGCCAGCAGGTAGACGCTACAGAACAGGTTCATGTAGATGACCGCGCTCACCGACTTGCACAGGAACTCGCCGAAGGGCCAGTTGTAGCCGTTGACGATGTTGGCCGCCCAGAAGGGCAGGCAGCCAACGAAGAGGAGGTCGGCGGCCGCCAGGTTTCCCAGGTAGATCTCGGCCACCGTGCAGCTGACCCTGTGCAGCACCAGCACCAACAGCACAAAGGCGTTGCCCACCATCCCGACTGCGCAGATCAACACGATGTAGATGGGCTGCGCCATGTACATCCACCCCAAGAAAGGGGCGCCGGGGCAGGCCTCCGTCGCGTTGACGGGCACGGGGGATGGATCGGGCACGTTGCCCGGTGGGAGGGAGAATGGCCATGACTGGTTCAGCATCCCTGCTCGCTCAGCGCTCTGTCGAACAACGACAACACATTACGTTGAAAACAGCGCCTGTGCCCTTTCACGTCGGGAGGAACAACGTCCTGAGGCGCTGGACGGACGGACCAGTCAGGGCTTTGGATCCGAGCTGGGGGGGTGGGATCAGGAAGGGCGGAGGGCGGAGGGCCGGGCGGGGGGCAGAGGTAGCAGTAGGCGGACGGCTGAAGACGTTGGATTCGATACAGCGCCTTACCGTGTCATTGAGACGTCTCAAAGCGCTTCACGGGATACATTGTGAGGTGGATATTTTGTGGGCGAAAGTGTAGTGACTGTGTATTTTGTGGGAGAAACCCTGCAGCCAATTGCGCTCGCCAGCGTCCCACAAACAGCGACCAAATTATTATGATTTATTTCGGAGGGATTATCACCCCCGGAAAAGCGATCCACCAATCGACTAACAACCAGGTTCCTGCTGACTGCTGCGTAAACAGAGGCGTGTGGGGTAAGGAAACCTGCCCCAAACTTTCCCTCCGCCTGACTTCCGGCGCATTAAGTCTTTAGAAGCTGGTTCCTTTGAAGCCCACCGCCCGGCCACCCACCTCGTTAGATCCTCTCCGCGGTTTAGAACTCTCAGCAGCAGGATCACATTTGGCAACAGATATATCTTCTAAAATATCCAACCAAATGTATACAAAACACACTGCCAGAGAGCGAGTTCAAGGGTGGTGGGTGGTTGGTGGGGAGTTATATGCAGAATAACAGATTCCTGGGTGTGACGGCCAGTATTATTATTATTATTATAACTACAACGCCTCCACCCACACACCTGAGCTTCCCAATAAAGAGAGCCCATTGCCTTCTTGTTTACAGCTGAGCTAAGTTCATGCACTAATATTGACATTGCTGGCATTTTGATGTTGCACCTCATCAAGTTGTTGAGGCGTCTCAAAGCGCTTCCCAGGATATGCTGGAAAGTGGGGCGACCGTGTGTTTCGCGGGGCCAAACGCGGAGGCCAATTTGCGCCCAGCAGAATCCTGCAAAGTGGCTTTATTCGGGGGATTGTTGGCTAGGAACCTGGGATTTTATGAACGCCAGTCATACGAGGGACTAACAAGCCTAGTTTTGGAACACTATCGAAATAAAGTCTTCTGTGGCACAGAAACCAACACGATTTGGCCTCACCTACCTGACCTCCTCAGCAGGAAACTAAATTTAGCTCAGCTAAACGGCTAAACGGTAAAGAAACGCGCCCCGCATTCCTCCCTGCCCGGGAATCGAACCCAGGTTCCCCTCGCTTTTGCTTTGCGAGGCGAGTGCTCTTTAACCACCGAGCCTCAGGACTCCCACGCCTTTGCTCGCGTTCTGAAGCAGAGCCTGAAACGGAGACCTCAAGTTGAACTGGAGAATGGGTTTCGGCTGAAGAGCAATTCATCTCAATCGAACGCATTCCTCACCTTTTTCCTCCCAGAGAATGGGCAGCTGTGAGGACGCCAGAAACCAGCGAGGAAACGCGTTAGGGAAAAGTTGACTAAGAAACTCTTTAATAACAAACAATGCTCAAATGGGGTGGGGGGGAAAAAGAACCAGGGTTTAAACTGACGTCCTGCCTCGCACCTTCACTGATCGGAGGCACTGAGATGACCTCAGCGTGTCTGGGGGGTCCCTATCGGCTGGTGACGCTTCATACCGCGAGTTACTTGCGAGCGTAGTGACTGCACCTCGGCAAATGCAGCGACTTATCTGCCCCCAACGACTGCCCACAGTGGGGAAACAAACACCTCGCTGGAATCCCGTAGCGTAGCGGTTAGGGCTTTCGTCCCACGAGCGAGAGGACCCGGGTTTGATCCCCGGTCAGGGCGCGAAACCTTAGGCAAGTTTCCTTACTCCGCGCACGCACGCCTCTGTTTACCTAGCGGTAAGTAGGAACCAGGTTGTTAGTCGATTGGCGGAGTATATCAGGGCCCAGCCTTCACCTCAAACACGTCACGGTATGGAAAATACGGTCAAGCACTTACCCGGAAGATCAAACCTTACGGAAATCACCTGAGTTCCGAAAAGCGTTGAGCCTTTCCTTGTGAGCCAGCGCGTGGAGCGTGTGATCCTGGCTGTGGCTTTACTCTCCCACACTGACTACTCTGAATCCAAAGTGGCGTGTTTATATACATATACGTGTGTGAGTGTGTGTGTGTGTGTGTGTGTGTGAGATCTAACTCCAAGCTGTCAGCTTCATCCCAGCCCCAGCAAGAATGTACGAGAAGTGATTTGTTCGGACGTTTGAGATTGCGTAAATATTTAGTGAAGCAAATTGCATTCCACTGGCAGCTGAATGAATCCTTCACGTTGAGGCCAAACAATGAGATAAGGGAGCGGTAGTGGACTGTGGGAGCGTCGGCTCATGTCACCCACACAAGCGCCTTTGGCGCTGCTGGCTTTTGGACGGTTTAAGTGGACGCTTGGACTGTTTGCCCGATAAATTGGGAACCAGGTTTGGTGGAGTCGCAAGCGAGAGGACCCGGGTTCGATTCCCGGGCAGGGGTGCGAAACGTTGGGCAAGTTTCCTTACCCCACACACACACACACACGCGCGCGCGCGCGCCTCGGTTTACTGAGCAGTAACCGGGAACCCGGTTGTCAGTTGATTGTCGGATCACTTTCCTGAGGAGTCATTCGGTCACTTCGACCCACGGCGGTTTGTGGGGACGCTGCCGTGCGCAATTGGCTGCCGCGTTTCACCCGCAAAACACGCAGTCACTGCACTTTACAGTGTGTCCCGTGAAGCGCTTTGAGACGTCTCGAAGATGTGATAAGGCGCTGTATCAAATGCAAGGATTGTTGTTGTTGTTGTTGTTCCATGACCTGGTGGGCGCATAAAAAAGGAATTTGCAACAGAACACCAATCACAGCCGTGGGGTAAGGCCACACTGCCGGCTTCCTGCCCCCTCCTCGACACGGCCCAGCAAATGTCTGGCTGTGTACGCGCTCACGGTGGGGTTGTAAAACCGCTTGTTAAAGTGGTAGCCCCCGGCAGCCAGGGGTGTGGGGAGGGTGCGCGCGGGGGGAGAGCGGGAGGAGCTCTGCCCTGCGTGAGGGGCGTGAGGGGCGTGAGGGGTGTGTGGGGTGGGGAGCGATGTATCAACGACTGAGGTCCTGGAAAAAAACAGTCTTGCGTTTGATGTTCATCCGGGAGCCGGAACCGAGCGAGAGAACAGCCGCGAAGCAATCCTGGGACGTCCTCCAGACGTGAAAGGCGCTGATTAAACGTACAATCCGTTCAAATGTTTCCAGACTGAGGTGGATAGATGTTTGTGAGGTCAGGGGATCGAGGGATATGGGGCAAAGGCGGGTAATTGGAGTCGAGGTACAGATCAGCCTTGATGTTGCAGAACGGCAGAACAGGCTCGAGGGGCTGAATGGCCTCCCTCTTGTTCCTACGTACCTAACTGATGGCCTTCCTCTGAGCTCTACAATAATAGTAATAATCTGATTTGATACAGCGGCTGATCACGTCCTCGAGACGTCTCAAAGCCCTTCACAGAATGTACCGTAAAGCGTAGTGACTGTGTATTTTGCGGGTGAAAAAAGAAAGCTGTGACTGTCTGTGGTTCGCTGGGACAAGTTTCAATATTTAGACAGATTCTGAGACTGTGTTTGAAACTCCGCACAAGTCTGGAATTTTAATAACAAGTTTCCTTACTCCACGCGCCTCTGTTTACCCAGCAGTTAAGTAGGAACCCACCAAAACATGCGGTCACTCAATCCACGACTGTTTGTGGGACGCTGCAGTCCACAATTGTCTGCCGTGTTTCGCCCACAAAATACGCAGTCGCTACACTTTACAATATATCTTCTGATGCCCTTTGAGACGTCTCGACGATGTGTTAAAAGCCCGATATCGAAGGCAAGGATTATTATTGCTGTCATTCACGGCTATTTGAGGGATTTTGCTGCGCACGTTGGCTGCCGCGTGTCTCCCCGGCAAAACACACAGTCACTACGCCTTACAGCGAGTCCACTATTCCGCTCTAATTGCACCGCACTATTCCGTGAAGCGCCTTGAGACGTCTCGACGACGTGATGAGGCGGCGTTATATCAAACACAAGGATTATCCTTGTGGGATTATTTCAGGTTAGGTTGGCTCCGGCGTGGCGGAGAGAGAGGAAGAGAGAGCGAGAGAGAGAGAGCGAGAGAGAGAGAGAGAGGATGGAGTGGGTGTTGAGATGACTGCGCTGAAAAACATGACTCACAAGAAACATTGCTGGCTGTTTGTGCGAGAGGAGGGAGCGTTAGCGTGGGCCAGAGGCGAGTGAGGAGCTGGGCACTGGTTTCCAGGGCAACATTCGAACGAGTCTCCCAGGAATTCACCCAGACACGTCCCACATTTTCATCCTGTGCTTGACTGGCTCCGATCCGCCAGCGCGAAGAGCCGGGACATCAGGGAGGGTGGGGGTGGGGGTGGGGGTGGGGGGGGGGCAACTGGAGTCAGCTCCGAGAGGGTAAATGAGGGGGAAATCTGTTACCAACCAACCCGTTAGCCCTCCCGCCATCACCCCCACCCCCTCCCCACCCCATCCTTTCCCCAAACTCTGCGCTGTTGCGTACTTTTTAACAGCCCGGAGTCCCGTAGCTCGGTGGTTAGAGCGCTCGCCTGGCAAGCGAGAGGGACCTGGGTTCGATTCCCGGGTGGGGGTCAGGGCGAGACCTTACTCCACTCCGCGCCTCTGTGTTTTTCCCAGCAGCAAGTGGGAAACCGGTTGTTAGTCGATCGGCGGATGGCTTTTCCCGGCGGGGGGTGGGGTGGGGTGGGGGGGTAATAATCCCTTCACAAAAACAACCCACCAGAATAATTCGGGCACTCAGTCCACGGCTGTTTGTGGGGACGATGCCGCGTTTCGCCCGCAAACGATTCCGTCAGTTGGCTTTGCAGTGCGGGATTGGGCTGGAGGTGGGAAGGTGACAGAAGGCGCTGTTTCCAAATTAAGATTCCAATTTAAATTGACATAATCTTAAAATTAT